TGTTCAGATTTTAGATACCCAAGAACAAGTCTTGCGAGGCAAGACTATTCCATTGGTTAAAGTGCTATGGTGACACCACGGTGTCGAGGAAGCGACATGGGAGCGTGAGGCTGAGGTCCATATGAAGTATCTGGATTTGTTGAGAGGGCTTGACTTTCCTTTCTTCATAAACTTCTTGTTTTCATCATGTGTGACTTAGGGACATTATGGAAACTTTGTGAAATCTATAATAATATGTTATTAAGTTTAATTTTTGGGTTTTCATGTTCTTTCATTGTTAATGTGATGTCTTGGTTAGATCTTGTTGAGGTTGAGATGGAATAGTTGGAATTTGCCGTTGTTAAGGCGTGGCTTAATTTTAGGGACGAATTTTTCCTAAGGTGGAGAGGTTGTGATGTCCCAATTGTTTTAGAAACTAATGTGTTTGGATGAATAGGTTGAGGTTGGTTTTTCTAGGGTGGTTTTAACTATTGGATCTTAAGTTCGCTCAAGCAGTGCCTTGGTCGCTTGAGCAGTCTTTGCAATCGTTTAGTTTTGGGTCTACAATCTGAGATTTTGAGAGTTTATTTTCTTCGCTCAAGCATAGGCCTCATCGCTCGAGCAATCCTTGGTGTTTGACACTCGATCTCATGTTTTGCCACTCGAGCAATGTGTTCTAACACCTTTTGATAGGAGATTGTGGTTATGCTTAGAAATCCAAAACGTGTTGAGTTGATTGTAAAATCTCATTGATTTTGGAAAGTTGGATGAATTTTGGATTATATATCATTGTTGTTGTCTTTAATTTTTGTATTAGAGATAACTGGTTTGGCTATTGATGAAGGATAGCATTATCGTGTGATAGAAATTGCATAAGAGCTAGGTGGATTGAAATATTTATAACTCATGCATTCCATTGGGCATAGCATTGTATTATTTATAATTGTTCATTTTGAGAAACTTTTGGAAAGTGTTTAAAAAAGGTGTGTATATAATGGTGAATCCGATTAGGGAATGTGGATGTGGATAATTAATTTGGCTTTAGGTCCTCGCTGAAAGTTTGAAAACCCGAGCGATAAGGTACCCAGTTCCTTTCAGTTAAGACCCGGTAAAGTGGTTTTGGGTGGTGTTTTAAGTGCCTACTTGCAAACATCAGCCTAAGGATTACCAGTGTCGCATTTATTGCCTTATTTTTAATTTTTGAAAGGAAATATTGGGATGTGGTATTGAAACTCTCACATAGCATTGTTTTCAAAAGGAAAACAATCATATTTTGTCATGGCATTTCATATGTATCCACCATATAGCATTCCTAAACATCATACATGTCATTAAGATATTCTCTACTAGGCTTTCAACTCACCCTATATGGAAAAACTATTTCAAGTTCAGACGGTGTGCCTCCACCAAGGCAAAGGTTTGGGAGGATCTTGGAGTCTGGAGCTCATTTTGTGATTTCATTATAAAGCTATGGGCTTATTTGTATTGAGTTTTGTAACTCGTTTGCTGTAACCAGCTATGCCTTGGAAATTGTAGCCTTTAGGGCATTAATTTGTAATAGTTTAAAGTTTATTTTTTATCAATCAAATGCTATAAATTCATGTTTCAGAATCAATGAATGTATAAATGCTTGTGACATGATTTCGTAAGGACTTGATGGACTTTAGTGAATGGATGATAACTATAGAAATGACATTCGTAATGTGAATTGGGATTTGTTTAAGCTTCCTCATGATTGATAGGTAATGTATATCTTTGGAGTTATGAGATTGTGTAGATCAGGCTTTCATATTTTTGGGGTGTTACAAAAATAGAGTTGGTGCCTTTGGATTTGGTGTTTCCATGATTTGAACAATGACTGAGATTGAACACAACAACCTATCATCATCATCAACACAAATGATGGAATGAACAGACCAATAAAACCCATTTCCCCTTTTTCCGTCCTCATCCACTGCCACGCATTCCTCTCACATGTCGTCCAGCGCCACCTTCGTCTCGGCAGCTCGTCCTCTGTCTCGGCTTAAATCTGAGTCTCTTCCATTGAAGACTCCCTCATGTCTTCGAGAAGGTTCTCGAGCTTCCATTCCTCTTTGAGGCCGACGTGTCAGTCAAGGAGACCAATGATTTCATTCAATTCATCTCTCAGACTAACAATTCGATTGGCAACGACGTTTGGAGATTCACCCCGATGAAGATTATGGTTAGAAATGGTAGTGGCGGAGGTGGTGGTGGTGGTAAGGTGGTAGAGTTGTTGTTGGGAGCATTAAAGGTGGTCGTGTAGAGGTTTCGGCTTCAAGTGATGACTCTGTTGGAGATGGCAAGCATGGTGTTTGTTGACAAAGAGCTCATTGTGATGGTACTGAAGAGTAAAGAGTTCACCAAACGAGATGAATTGGAAGGCGTGAGACAGATCGTTCTTGTACAATAATTGAATTCTTGGTGATAAGAGAGAATGAAGAGGAGGGGAGAGATTTGTACAGATAGATTGAAAATCTAGATAGAAACGAGTGTAACGCGTGACTTGTCCTTATCGACGTACGATTGTCCTTATGAACTTAATCAATAAACACATGGATTTATGGCCTTATAAATCATTAAAATGGACCTATGGATGGAGCTCTCTATAATTATTTGTATTATATGCATAATCCATGCATTTGATAAATAGTTCTATTAATTTCAAATAACACTACAAGAAATATGACTTTTGACGACGCTTATTTAACGGCATTTTATTAAACACCACATTTTATAATACTCAACGACGTTTTTTAAACGTCGCTTTTTGTTTAAATCAAAACGGCACCATTTCATTAACCAAAGGCGTTTGAAAATGCCTTCAAATGTCTTATATCTCTCCCTCTCTTAAGTGGGCGAGCGGGTGAGTATCAAATATAATAGCCCTAATCTCTCAGTCTCTCACCCTCTCGTTCACTCTCTCGCTCTCCTTCATCTCTCGCTGTAGCCCTAATCGAAGTTCTCTTTCTCGATTTCGATTTCGAAATCTATGTTTGGGTGATTCTTTCTCAATTTCGAAGCTTATTTTGAATCTCAGAATAATTGTTAAAGCCTTCGTAAACCTTTATTTTGAATCCTCACGCCTTCAAATCTCGCCTCTCTCTCAACGCTCTCTAAACCCTTATCATTCTCACGATGTTGCTCCAGAACGGTGTCATCTTTCAGAGCGATTTTGATTTTGAAGCTCCACAGCCACCACCGGCGACGTAGCGACCACCATCGGCGAGCGATTTCAATTTCGAAGCTCCAGAGCGGTGTGTCTCTCTCTGTCTCTAGATCTCTCTTCATCTTTGAGATTCAAAGATTCAGATTGGTCTCAGTGATTTCATCTCAGAGTGATTTCGAAGCTCCAGCGAGGTATTGATTTCCCTCTCTCTCTCTCTCTCTAGCCCTTCCTTCCCGTCTCTCTCAATTTCTCAATTTGGTATTTATTTGCTTGGAAACCTGTTCAATTTCTTCTTTTGTTTGCTTTGTCATTCTTCCTTAATATGTTGTTTTTAGAAAATTTTATGTCATTCCTGGATAGTTGGCCCTTGTTTCTGTGTCATTCCTGTAATTGAATGATGAAATTCTAGGAGTTTCATATCTTACAAAGCCATAAGATATGTATCTGGTTCAAAATGCAAAGTTTGGTTTGCTTATCCCTCCATGGCTTCTGGTTAGTTCAAGTGTTCTTTGCGTAGTTTTTGTAGTACTTGGACTCTAGGTATTAAAGGCACTGTTATGCACATTCCCCTAATGTTAGTATTCTTTTTCATATATGAATTGTAGAGACTGTTGGTCACTGCTGCATCTACAAATTTTTGGGATGATGCTCTTCAATCTTTTTGTTCTTTTAAGGTTCTAAATTATATATTCTGTTTTTAAGCTTATATTGACTATCTTATGCATTTGATATGCTTTGCAGTCCTGTAATTCTTAGGTACCTTGCTTGTGCATTTCTTGGAGTAACTGATCACTGGTGAGAATTGTTGCTTCTTTTTTGCAATTAGTTTGCCTATAAGGACCTGTGTTATAGCATTGAAATGACAATTCTAGTTGGGCCAAATGGTTCTATTGAAATGAGAATTCTAGAAGCTTAAATTTGTTCACTTTAATTTGCACAAATCCCTCCCAGAAATCTGCTGTTGTGCGTACAATATAACATGAGTCTACCATTTGATCAACATATAGGCTATAGTTTGAAAACATCACAATACAAGCTTGTTGTAATACTTTAATTTGAATTGCACATACCCTTCTTATTTTCTTTTTGGGGAGGAGGGGAAGTTGGTGGGTTTTGTTAATTGTGTGATATTGATTGCCTTGTTGTAAGGAGGAATTTTTGGGTTTTGGGTCATAGACCCACCCATGGTTTTGATGGCTAAAACTGTTGTGTTGATACGATTGATACATTCTTACAGTTCAAGCAGCACTGCCTCGCCTTTTAGGAGCTGCTGCTTCTCCTGGAGTTGCTGCTCGTGAAAATCGTCGTCCGTGTCTCAAGGTAATTGTAACACTTCATACCAATGAAAATCTTACCTGATAAATTGAATTAATTGAGGACATGCACTGCTCTTCCATCCTTAAAATCTTATCACTATGTTTTCATTCATGCATATTATTATTTTTAGTCCTTTGGTTATGAAACTTAGTTTACATTATAGAGACTGTTCTTTGTTTTGCCCGTGTGTGCTTTCTTGTCATAGGTTCTTTGACTAGGGCATGAACAAATTGACAATGTTTTAATTTTTTTGGTATGGACTGACACAGTAGTTTGAGATAATGTGGATTAAGAGGATTAGTCTTTACCATTTTCTGTTGGATTGGGGGAATGGGTATATTAGACAGTTGAGAACTTGAACGTTAAGAGAAACAAGAAGACAATAGGAGGAAAATTCTTGTCAGCTGCATCCAAATTCGTAGGCGCGCGCGCGCACATACACACACTAAAGAGAGTACGTGCAGATTTTCAGTCACGAATTGAGAGCGTGCCCGTTGCACCAGCTGTTGCACTCGAACCCAGTACATAGGCAGCAGGTATTTTCATTATTTTTACTAGTTATTACTTTAAATTTTCCAGAGCTACTATACAACTTCAGCCTCTTATTCAATGATAGGTTGTTGATTCACTTAGTAGTCGTCCCACTGTTTGGCCAATGTCACATCAACAACATTTTCATGCATTTTCATCCCAAGAGGTGAGCAATCATTTAATCAAAGCTTTTTTGACAATACAATATCTTATTAATTACAATACTTGTCCTTATTAAATATAGGTTCACCTTTCAAAGAAAGGGAAGAAGAAGAAGAAGAACTAACAAGGTAAAAGTACTAAACATCACTAGTTTTTAATTTCTCACTTTTCTAATTCTATTAAGACATGATGTGATTTGGTGTTGGAAATTAGTGATTTTGTCGTGGACCTAATCAGGTCTTTCTTATTAGCCATTGTGTAGTTGGTTAGAACATTATGAGTCTAGTATGTAGACCTGACGAGTCTTCATATGAATTCTGTAAGTGGGTTAATTTATAATGTCCCATTACATCATGGTTCTGTCTGTTTGACCCTTCCATATTGAATGGAGACCCTTACCTCATGGTTAAGTTACAATTCTTTTTTGTTGGCAATCAAAAAAAAAAAAGAAAAAGAAAAAAGAATAAGCCTTATTGATTCTACATGTTCAATTTGAAAGTTGAGGATCTTGTTTAATGTGTGTTTGGCAGATTGTTTTTGACTTTGTTTTACTGCTGGGACATTTGCTGCTATTTTGGGAACAGTCGGAGCTGATTTTTTTGTTGAATTAATGGGTTCTTTTTAGGGATTTTTGTATTTTTCTGCTGCCCTATTCTGGAACTTATATTCTACACGAGAGACAGAGAGAGAGAGAGTCAATTTGTATTTTAAGATAATTCTAATTGTCTTCTATATTAGATTGTTGTTGGATGATTGAGACCCCTGTTGCTTTTCTTTTGGAGTGGTAAAATGGCATGCTTTTTGGCCTTTTTGGCTGCTATCTAACTATTTGTTCCTGCACTTCTTCCCAATTTACTTTTTTTTTTTCAGCACTCAATTGAGAATTTGTATCTGTGGAGATCATATGATATGCTTGTTTTAATTCCTATGGTTTTGGGCATTTCTTGTGGATATGTATGTTGGGTGAATCCCAATGTTAAGTTGGGAGTCTTGGACCACTCACTTTTATGTACATTAATGTAATATGAAGGCTTTTAAACATAGCAACTTTATATTAGTGTTATTTTTCAGTTTTATTACAGGGATTTTTTAGTTCAAAAAAACAAAAATAAAAAAAAAAAAAACAAGGCTATCGCGGTGTTTCTAAAAACGTCGCTAAATATCACACCAAGGGCTGGATTTCTTTTAAAAAGAGATACGGCGGCGTTTTAAAACGTCGCTAAATAGCATGGCGACGTCATGTTAACGTTAGTAGAACTTTTAGAAGCATTTTTAGAAAACACCGCCTATAGTCATATAGCGACGTTTTTAAAGCGTCATAAAGTTATAGCGACGGCCGCGTCTTCGACGTTTAGTGCCAAACGTCACAAAAGGTTTTAACGGCGTTTTTAAGACCTACCGCGGCGTTTTTTAAACGCCACTAAATCCTTGATTTCCAGCAGTGAACTTACGTACAGTCTACCAATTTTCAATTTATAACATACATCTCATTTTGGGACAAAATTCAATTTACTTTTACATTCTATTTTTTATTTTTTAGAGGGTAAAATATATATATCAACAATGATGGAGACATTATAGAGATTGTTCTTTGTTTTGCCTGTGTGTGCTTTCTTGTCATAGGTTCTTTGACTAGGGCATGAACAAATTGACAATGTTTTAATATTTTTGGTATGGACTGACACAGTAGTTTGAGATAATGTGGATTAAGAGGATTAGTCTTTACCATTTTCTGTTGGATTGGGGAAATGGGTAATGTAGGTATATTAGACAGTTGAGAACTTGAATGTTAAGAGAAACAAGAAGACAATAAGAGGAAAATTCTTGTCAGCTGCATCCAAATTCGTAGGCGCGCGCGCGCACATACCCACACTAAAGAGAGTACGTGCAGATTTTCAGTCACAAATTGAGAGCGTGCCCGTTGCACCAGCTGTTGCACTCGAACCTAGTACATAGGCAGCAGGTATTTTCATTATTTTTACTAGTTATTACTTTAAATTGTCCAGAGCTACTATACAACTTCAGCCTCTTATTCAGTGATAGGTTGTTGACTCACTTAGTAGTCGTCCCACTGTTTGGCCAATGTCACATCAACAACAATCTCATGCATTTTCATCCCAAGAGGTGAGCAATCATTTAATCAAAGCTTTTTTGACAATACAATATCTTATTAATTACAATACTTGTCCTTATTAAATATAGGTTCACCTTTCAAAGAAAGGGAAGAAGAAGAAGAAGAACTAACAAGGTAAAAGTACTAAACATCACTAGTTTTTAATTTCTCACTTTTCTAATTCTATTAAGACATGATGTGATTTGGTGTTGGAAATTAGTGATTTTGTCGTGAACCTAGTCAGGTCTTTCTTATTAGCCATTGTGTAGTTGGTTAGAACATTATGAGTCTAGTATGTAGACCTGACGAGTCTTCATATGAATTCTATAAGTGGGTTAATTTATAATGTCCCATTACATCATGGTTCTGTCTGTTTGACCCTTCCATATTGAATGGAGACCCATACCTCATGGTTAAGTTACAATTCTTTTTTGTTGGCAATCAAAAAAAAAAAAAAAAAAAAAAAAAAAGAAAAAGAAAAAAGAATAGGCCTGATTGATTCTACATGTTCAATTTGAAAGTTGAGGATCTTGTTTAATGTGTGTTTTGCAAGTTGTTTTTGACTTTGTTTTACTGCTGGGACATTTGCTGCTCTTTTGGGAACAGTCAGAGCTGATTTTTTTGTTGAATTAATGGGTTCTTTTTAGGGATTTTTGTATTTTTCTGCTGCCCTATTCTGGAACTTATATTCTACACGAGAGAGAGAGAGAGTCAATTTGTATTTTAAGATAATTCTAATTGCTTTCTATATTAGATTGTTGTTGGATGATTGAGACCCCTGTTGCTTTTCTTTTGGAGTGGTAAAATGGCATGCTTTTTGGCCTTTTTGGCTGCTATCTAACTATTTGTTCCTGCACTTCTTCCCAATTTACTTTTTTTTTTTCAGCACTCAATTGAGAATTTGTATCTGTGGAGATCATATGATATGCTTGTTTTAATTCCTATGGTTTTGGGCATTTCTTGTGGATATGTATGTTGGGTGAATGGCAATGTTAAGTTGGGAGTCTTGCACCACTCACTTTTATGTACATTAATGTAATATGAAGGCTTTTAAACATAGCAACTTTATATTAGTGCTATTTTTCAGTTTTATTATAGGGATTTTTTAGTTCAATAATATAAAATTAAAAAAAAAAACACAAGGCTATCGCGGCGTTTCTAAAAACATCGCTAAATATCACACCAAGGGCTGGATTTCTTTTAAAAAGAGATACGGCGGCGTTTTAAAACGTCGCTAAATAGCATGGCGACATCATGTTAACGTTAGTAGAACTTTTAGAAGTGTTTTTAGAAAACGCTGCCTATAGTCATATAGCGACGTTTCTAAAGCGCCATAAAGTTGTAACGACGGCCGCGTCTTTGGCGTTTGGTGCCAAACGTCACAAAAGGTTTTGACGGCGTTTTTAGGACCTATCGTGGCGTTTTTTAAACGCCGCTAAATCCTTGATTTCCAGCAGTGTAACTCATCATATCAATCATTTTTTTGAATTTTCTAATAAAAGAAACTAGGGAAAATTACACCAGTGATTCCTTTATTTTATCGCTCATGTCATTCTGGTCCCTACACTTTTAATTGGCTCAATTTGGACTCTTTATTTTAAATTTTGTATCAATTTGGTGCAATTGATAATATTTTTAAAATTTTTAAAGAAAATTATCACTAAACTGGTTAAGATTAACTCATTGATTTGAGTAAGGTTATGATTTTATCCATATATAAAAATATGACACATGACACTAACGTGGATATTTTCAATAAAAAAAAATGTTAAGAATTGTAATCAATTTGAACAAATTAAGACAAAATCTTAAATTTATGATCAAAATTGAGCCATTTGAAATTACAGAGACTAAAATAACATAAGAACCAAAGTATTAGGACTACCATCGTAATTTGGACAAGAAGCTTTTTTTTGGGTAAATTAGTCATAAATTAAAATAAGGAGATATACAGACCTAGCCCTACCCAACTATACAACAAAAGAGCAAACAAAAAAGGGAAAAACTAAAAGAAGCAGCAAAAGCTAGGACTAACTAAAGCTAATAGACAAAAGCATAAAGGATGATAAACCAAAGTAGCCCCAACAAAAGCAGCAGTAACCAGCGATCAACCACCACAAAACAAACACTAAAGCCAAAGCAAAGAACCACTAGATCCAACAGCACTTAGAAATAATTTGCAGCCAGTTCAAGGGCCCCATCCAAATGAGGATGGGGCCTTGAACAATAAAGCTAGGGACAAACATAATTGAAGCTTAAGGACAGATAGCTAAAGAAGCAAGCTTGCACATCCCAAGTACAAAACAACACCTAAAGGAGCACAACCCAGGAGGGATAGGCCAAAATCATCAACAGTAGAAAAGAAAGCACTAATAATAAGCTAGAGATGTCTCACTACCAGAAATACAACTAAAACAAAATAACACCTCGCATAGCCGGCAAGGAAAGCTCACAATAACAGCAAATGCAAAAAAGCAACCAACTTTGTAACAGACACAACCTAAGGAGACTGGGAATAATAGATCAGCAGTTATCACCAACATGGATCTCGACCTTGGACATGCTTCAGACACTCCTCAAAGCAGCACAACTGCTAACCAGTAAGGATACTGTTAGCAGGTATTTTAATATTATAATGTGTTATAGGTTGGTTTTCTTTTCTTTTCTTTTCTTCCTTGTTAAGCCTTCCAAGTCTTCCTAGTCTTGGTCTTTGTCTCCTCTTGCTTATCCATTCCAAGACTTGGAAGTTAAGCAATCCAAAGTCTTCTCCAAGTCTATCCTATCTTATCCACCTTGTCTTCCTAGATAAGCTTTCTTGGTCTTGGTCTTGGTCTAGTCTTTTAACTTCTCCACTAAGTTATCATTTCCATATATATATATATATATTGAACTTTGTCATATCAAAAAAAAAAATAGACACGAGGTGAAGAAATTTTGGTTGTTTGGTTATGTCTTGAGTGAGATTATCAGGCAAATAAAAAGGGTGTGTGTGATAAAGCTTTGGGTTCAACCAATTGTGCAATATTGGTGAACCATACGACTTAATCTGGCTGTTGTATCTTGGGGGGGGGACAAGTCAAGGTTTTTTCTGCTGCACCGGTGTGAGGCTTTGCCTAACCGCAGAGGGCTTGAATCTCCTTAAAGAGAGCGAGTTTCTCGCGCCTCAGCCCTGATAATAAGTTATTGTAATTTTATTATTTGTATTTTCTGGTGTGTTATTTGTAATTATCACCAACAGATACTATATCCTAGGCACAGAGAAAGGAGGTCAACACAAAGGAGAAAGCCAATCAAGCCCTGATAAAACAAATCTCACAGAAAAAGGTGCCATACAAAAATCTGAATAACACTCACAGCTCAGAAAGACAACAAGGGAGACAAGGCAAACCTAGAGGCTACCCCAACCTAAGCCATCCCAAGAGAGAAAATAAACAAGCTGGATAAAATAAAAATTTATATCTCACAACACTCAAGCCTCAACAATAATGTTAAATATATTAACTATATATTTTATCTATCATATATACCATATTATATTCATTACCATATGTAGATTTCTCTCCTCTTATATAAAGAAGTCTTCTATAAATTGTTACAACATTCAATATAATACAGATTTCTTATTCTCTCTCTCTCTCTCTCTCTCTCTCTCTCTCACACACACACACACACACACATTGTAACATGATATCAGAGCTAAAGTAAGTACCTAGTAATTTTGCTTTACTGGCGGGCAGCAACCTTGTTCTTAATCCCTTTGTTTCAACCTCAAATAGGTTTCAATTTTCACACCCATTTGAGTTCGAGGGGGGCATTATACATACATCATGGTAAGCATGGTGATATATCATGTGAATCATCTAAGTCGTTCCTGTGGCACACAACCCAAGCCGCCCCTTATGGTGCACCACCAAAGTTGCCCTAGTGGCGCATCATCTAAGCCGCCCATTGGCACACCACCCAAGTTGCCCCTTGGGGCACTTTCTCATAAGTCGCCCCCTTGTACACTATCTAAGTTGCCCCCTAGTGCACTTTCTCATAAGTCATCCCCCTGGCGCACCATCCAAGCTGCCCCTTGGTGCACTTAGTCATCTATTGTCATCATCATTCAGCACCGCGTCATAAGTTATGTGCATGCCACACTTACTGGTTCAACATCCAATTCTCTACATCGGTTTGGCATGACCCTTTTAAACTATCCCGACATTGATTCTGGTTAGTCTCTACAGCGGTCTGACATGACCCCTTAAACTATTCCGACATTAATTCCAATCAATTCCTACAAAGGTCCGGCATGACCTAGTAAACTACCTCGACATTAACTCCGATTAATTTCTACAACAGTTCAATGTGACCTGAAACTGTCCTGGCATTAGTTCCAATCAGTTCCTACAACAGTCCAACACGACCATAAACTGTCTCTTGGCATTAGCTCCGACCTCTAATCTATCTCAAGTACTCATGTGCTCCCATCTGGACTTTGCAATCTATTTGCCTCAAATCTATCCGTATGTTATTTTATTTATAGTTTTACTTCATGTTTTAGTTTTTCTCTCCGAATTCAAGTTGGTATCCCTACTTGAGTTTGAGGGGAGGTGTTAAATATAGTAACTATATATTTTGTTTATGATACATACCATATTATATTTATTATCATACTTAGATTTTCTCCTACTATATAAAGGAGTCTTGTATACATTGTTACGACGTTCAATATAATATAGATTTGTCTCTCTCTCTCTCCCTCTCTCTCTCTCTCGCTCTATATATATATATATTGTAACAAATAACTTCCCTACCCCAAGTACAAGCGAACCTGCAAAACAAGATCTCAACTTTGATATCGCTGGACACCTCAATGCAAAGAGCTTACAGAGTCCTGGAGAAAGCAAAGGAGATCAACATAGGAAAAGAGATACCACCTGTAAAAGGCTGCTCAATGTAACCACCACACTAACAAAGCGATATGGAAACAGGATCAAAGTAAAGCAGCCTAGAAATGGCTAACACTCGCAACTAAAACTCACAATATAAGCGTCAGTCACTCAACTCTCAAGTGCAAACACTCAAACTCAACAAAGAAAGCTAGTGCATCAAGAAACAATATTTAATTCTAAGAAGAAATAAATAAGAAAACCGACAATGCAGACAGACACTCTTAAAATGTAGAGCCCACATTCACTAAACCCTCAAGAAGAACATCCCTTACAGATAGTACCAGCTGATGAACCTGCACAGATTTTTAGCAAATATAATTTTGTGGTCTCATCCACTCAAACCACAAACTCACATCACTCATTCAACCTATATATATGGCCTCACCAAACTCAACCCTCAGTCTCTAAAATTGTACCAGCTAGGGACCTGCATAGAAAGCTACCAGAATTTATCCAAGCCTGACTGTCCAGCCAAAGGATGCGGTCACCATCAACCCATCCTCCTGCACTCAAAGCAAAAACTTAGAATTTATTGCAATAGAGACATAGGGAGCTTCCACTCCCTAACAAACCATTCGTTACATTTATCCGTCTTGAATTTATTCACAGATAAGATCATACATTTAATATAGCTGACAATTTTACAAATGATAGCAGTTTCACAGGACTGTATAGAATTGAAAATCTTGCTATTTCTTTCAAGCCAGATGCAAAAAATTGAGCAGGTAAAAGCATGCTTCTTAGCAGTGGTGGCCAAAGATTGACCAGGTGTGTGTGCAGTAATCCAGGTCACAAGATTGACCCAAGATAGATTAGGCCAAATCACATTGCACTTAACTTGCAAAACATTCCATATTCTAGTAGTATAAGGGCAGGAAAAGAATAAGTGATCACGATCCTCATCCCGGCCTCCACATAGAACACATGAAGGGGAACTCTTGATACCCAAAAAGCACTACAAGAAATGTCACTTTTGGCTACTAAAATATTGGTCGCCAAAAGTCAAATATTTAGTCGCTGAAACGATTTAGCGACTAAAATATTTTGTTGCCAAGCTCGTCGCCTTTACCCTGTCGGCGTTAGTATTGGCAACTAAACTTTGTTTGGTCGCCGAAAGTTACTACATTTGGCTACTAAATTTAGATTAGTCGGCAAATGTTATGCTTCCGCCACTAAAATCTTTAGTCGCCGAATGTGGCTTTTTGGCTACCAAGTTGTTGTGGTCGGGGAAGGTGTCACCTTTAGCTACTAAATAATTAGTCGCCGAAAGTACACATTTGGCTACGAAACTGTATTTAGTCAGCAAAAGGTGCATTCGGTGACTAAAGTGTTAGTCACTAAAAGTGCATTGGGTTATGTTTTTGCTACTAAATTCTTAGTCACCAAAACATTTGATTACGTATTTAGCTACCAAAATATTTGGTGGCCAAATACTTTAACGTGTTTTTTTTTTTAATTTTTTTTTCTAAATAACATGTATCCATTATTAATACAAACTGTACCCTGTATAAATAATATAATCCATCAACGCTAAATATGTTATCAAGCATTCAACAACGTGCACACATTTTAGTTCCAACCATCCAAAAAATTAATATTGAACGTCCAATTATATATATATATATATATATTACAAATTCCATAAGAACCAAGTCTAATCCAACGTCAATAATTTAATTTCATACATAATACAGGAATAACCGACTACTCCCACTACACATTTTAGTTCCAACCATCCAAAAATAAGTACTAATAAGTACAAGATGTCGTCCTGGCATCACTATAAGCTCCCATTGTTCAAGTCCTTCCATAAAACCCTTCAATTTGAAGGGGCCAACTACTCCCACTCGCCCATCCCCTTCGTCCACTACTGCTGGCACCTGCAGAACCATTGCATGAATGTGAAATCAAGTGCATGTCTAATAAAAATATAGAAATACATGTTCATAGTATCCTCGATCCAATTACACAATGTAAAATTACTGCACAGGAAAAAAATAATGGACGTGCTTACCGGCAGTACCATGGAAATTGAACCCATCATCCCAACCAAGCAAATGCCTTTCTGCGATTCTTACATATTTTCAACAACAATAAACATGCAAATCTTGCAAGTTTATATTGGAAATATGATGGTTCTGTTATTATTAACATGCACAGTACAGAAATTGATGCATAATTCGAAGCAACCAAAGCACAACAAACAAAGAAGAGAGAGGGAGAGAGAGATGTCACACCTGGAATGAGGCCTAAGAGGATCCATTGAAGATACATTATTACTTCGAAAGATTTATACCCTGCAGTGATGTAGAACAAAACCTTCACACATTGGAGTTCTAGGAGATTTTCCCACATTATGCATTATTTCACTTTTTGTTTGGGTTACAAAAATTTTGTAAACTGTGCAGTAATTTAAAATCGAAAATAAATACAAAATGAATTTTTATTTACAAGTTTCAAAATTCTACCTCCATGAAGCAAAGGTTACTACCTCCATGAAGCAAAGGTTTCACTAAAACTATACTTGTTATGTAACATCTTGAACGAAGAAACTATCTTATTTCTAATTAATGCAAATATATTTCCTCCATAAAATTGTGGATTTAGTGCAATCCTAATACAAATATAATTTCTAAAGATGAGCAAACTTTAGAAATCAAGTTTTAAAGCATCATATATTATATATTTAATTATTCTGCCCTCAAGAATACTGTTAGAAATACAATTTTATGCTGGAATAACACCTTGGCATAGGGAAATATCAGGTGTAAGAAATTTATATGTACCTAAGAGACTATGGAGTAGAATGGGCAGGAAAACACTAATTTATGGCAACTGCAATCTAGGTCATGTAAATCATATGTTTAGATTATATTTTCTCTTTCTATAATGAACTTGCAGTCCCTATAAATCATTCTAGAGATGTGCATCAAGGAGAAATCTCATCTATTCGGACATATGGAAATTAGGTACTGCAGTGAAAATAGTACTACACAGAATACAGAGGCTGAAACAAGAAGATGTCGAAAGAAAAAGACAACAAATTAGGTAGATGAGTATGTGAACCAGAGTTTTAAAAGGCTTTCCTGAGGCTCGCCTCGATGCTCGCCTCGCCTTGAAGCTAAAATAAAACGCATCAAGGCTTTGATTTTTAAGCATTACTCCCCAAAGGCTTGCGCATAATAGTTTGTGACATGCGCCTTAGGTGCGCTTTGTACGCTTTTTGCGTATAAACATGTGAGGAGTATGCACATGCAGAGGTTGCCTTGGGCTTTTGTTAAGCTTAGTCTATTGGATTGTTTAAATATAAAAAAAATAAAAAGAATCCATTTTTGCAACTAAATTTTACAGGAAAAATTAAGTAAATAATCAATCAAGAAAAAAACACAGTTAATAGTCAAGTGAGAAACTCAATCACTGAAGTTAAGAATATCAATTTCACTTTCAGTGAAGGAAAACTTCTTTCTATGCAATAAAATGTTCAACGCATTAAAACGAAAAGTATTTACACTTTTATATTTAATTTTGTTTTTATTTTTTTACTATTTTAAAATATTTAATTTATTCACTAAATATTAAAATTTGAAATTTGAAATGCTTACGCCTCAATGCCCTGAGACTTACGTCTCGCCTCATGAGGGGTAAAACGCCTCGAAGCACGCATTTGCCTTTAAAAACTTTGATGTGAACAGAGACCAGCATATATATATTTATTAATAACATTTGAGACATTACTTTTATTGAAGAAAAATAATAATAATTAAGTTGTACAACAGGGAAAAGGTTACACAACAGCTAGCAGGTAAGCCAACATAACAGAACAGTGTCACTTTCATAACATGGAACGGGGCACCTTCACATTTGACCTGCAACATGCAAAGTTCTTTCAAAATGATGGAAATTTAAACTAATCCATAGTAGTCATCAGACAAATCACTTGTGATTTACACAAAATAAGTGTTTCTAATATCTCAAAACTCTCTCAGCTGTTGGAAATCTCAATTGGATTCAATAGTTAATCCATGATGATCCCATCTTTAGGCCATTCAATTGATACTGTGGCACAAGCCTTGTTTAGTACCAAGACCAAGAAATGGAGAATTAGACCCTCTGCAAGATCACATTTTTTAGCTAAGGGCCAATGACAGGAAAGCTTTTTTTGGTATTCCCACCAATTAAAGTAAAAGAGGTCCAACGTCTCTCCAATCAGGAGAGAAGACAGAGTTTAGTTTGGGTCCAATGGGCGAGGACAAACTTTAATGATCCAGTTACTTCATTTTACACTTTAGTTTGGGCCAATGACCCTCTTTGCTTAATGGTAATGAGACACTGCATTAGCTTGGGATATGGATTTGGGATTGGTTCCCATTTCTCTCCTCCCAATTCTCTTTTTGTTCCCTATGTCAGTAAATCATTAGTCCGGTCTCAAGTCTAATTTTCCTTGAAAGATAATGATCCATTGATAACCGAGTTGCTTCGACATACCTTTTATTTTTAATTTCCACCTCATTAGCTTACATTCCCAAACAATTAGTGATAAGCATAACTTAAAAAATTAACAAAATTCACAGAAATTTTGCAAAAGTGCAAACCTAACCCATAAAAAAAAAAAACATACCTAAGGATAACATTTTCTGGAGGATTCAGAACTCCTAAAATGTTTGAAAGTGAATTATTCCGAAGATCACTGCAATTGTCAATCACATGGAAGGGAAAATTAGCAAGACACAGCTTTCACACAGAGGTAGAGTAATATATAGGAAGTCCATTTATAAAATTAATGCTATTTCATTCCAAAAAGTGACACTAGTTTTATGCTTCAAGCTCTTACAGTAAAAGTCTAGCCTTAGCACTGAAGGACATGTTCTGCCAAATACTAGCAGGGATAGGACCAGTCAAAAAATTATTCTCAAGTGACCTGTAATAAACAATCATTCAAATCTGTCATCAAGTATGCATGAGAAGAGTATTCCAAAATATAGTCCACTAGAATCCTTAATTTGAAAAAGGTTCCACCAAAAAGAAAATACTAATTTTTATCAATATTGATTAAGTTTAAACCACACATATTTCCTACATAAGGATTACCATTACATTGGTTTTGTGATAGGAAATGAAAAACCAAAGAAAAGAAGTATGAAGATCCTCACAGTTTCTGCAGAGAAGGGAGATTTGACAAACTTTCTGGAATGGATCCATTAAGTTGGTTATTTGACAGGTTGCTGCACAAGACATGTTGGTAATCATGAATATCCTATCATTAAAATTCTTACATCACAATTTGCCCAAGTTGACTATTGATATGAATCTAGAAATTTTGCGTGTGACTTTGATAATTCACTTAAAATAAGATGAAGCACCCAAAAAAAAAAACACTGGGCTAGGCTTTTCAATTTTGATCCACTCCATTTGGATTGTGGGAGGAGAAAAGAAAAGTAATGGTTGTGGTTTCCCACCTTCTATTTTGGATGGAAAAGGAAAACAAAAACATTAACAAAAATTAATTGTAATATTATGGCTGACAATATTTTGTTCTATTGGTGTCATCAAAGCTGGAATATTGAATAAAGAAGGACCTAATGATACTTAGGGAAGGGACTTACAGTATACGCAACTCTGGAATGTTGGAGAACTCTGGTGGAAGATGTCCAGTTAAGTTGTTATTGTCCAACAGCCTGTATACATTGTGCCAATATGAAAAACCCACAAGAAGTAGTTAACAGACAATTTTAATGGGTTAACAGACAATTTTAACCCTCAAGAAAAACCACCCAAACTTCAATGCACTATCGGTCCTGTAATGGGTTAACAGACAATTTTATAACAGAAAATTCCCAAATAGATCCCAATTTCCATTTCATATCAATTTTCTGATGTCATTTTGGAAATTAATGTTAAAAAAAAAATCCTCAAATTTGGGAAATTCAAAGAAATTTCATCAGAATTCCATGATTTGAACATGAAAGGTAGTTGATGTAGATGACTATAAGCCCCTCCCCAAAACACGCAGACACACACACACTCACACACACACAGGGAGGGCATGTGACACAAGTCTTTGGGAGAAGCAGCATACAATCATGAAAGGTAGTTTTCACATTCAACATCAAAGTTGATAACTGATTACCCATAAAGATGAATTATGCCTAAAGTGCACAAAATATAAAATGTAATATTTAGGCCTCATAGGGTAATTTTAAGGTGTCTAAAAATAGAACAAGGTTGTGATAGACCTTCAGGGAATCCATGACAAAGGCATAATCTAAAAATAGAACATATTCGGAAGCTACAATTTTAATTAGTATAAACAAGTACCTGCTCCCTCCTCCTCAATTCAGCCTCCTTTGCTTGGAGTTCTTTCTCCTTTGTTCTGAAATCCTAGATTGCAGCAGAGGATAATGAAATTAACAAAGCCTATGTCTATGCAAAAAAATAGTAAACAGGTTCAACATCCTTTGAACTTTAGTCTACCTTTTCATTATCAAGAGGGATATTAACTGTAGGACCACGATCATAGTCAACAGGTACAGGAGGAAGCGGTGAAAGCTTTGAGGCTGCAACAGGGGGAACTCCTGGATTCTGGTTATCTCAGCAACAATAATAATTAAGTGCACCATAAGCAAGACAATAAATGATCATCTGCACGATGATATGCTTAAGCATAAAACAACAATTTAAGTTATTCTAACAGAGACAATTAAAATGATAAAAAGGCGTTCTAACAAAAAATAAAAATAAAAATAAAAAATCAGGCAAGGAGGCCTTACAAGCCAATGTAACTGGTGTATGGACTGAGGCAAGTATTTCAAGCGCATGTCTATAGACATAGCTATGTGTGGCACTCATCTAAAACAAAAAATTGCAGGACATAGCAACAGGGCTGATTTGTTATAGCTCCCAAATTTATTCATTTAGATCCAAGGGTAAAGTGATATATGTGCACAACATAGCTTAGCCAACTAAGAATAAAATAGACACTAAGGAGGGAAGGTTGCTTAGATAATGTGGTTTGCGCTGGTATCAAACAAATTATTGAGGAAAGTTATTTATGGAAACAATCAAATAAATAGTTCATGATACAGCAAAAATACTTCACATCCCAATTAATTTACTGAAGGATCAAAAGGTTGGTGACAATATGTGTAAAAAAAATGCAAAAAGCCCCTATATGTTCATAATTCGATGAACACACAACAAATCTTCAAGTTGTACCTAGTCTTTGTTTCAGAATCATCAAATTATGCAATCATCATAATCAAAGAAATTCAAATAAAGAAGAATTGCAAATTGCAACCTTTTTACATCATAACAACAGAGGTTCAGAAACTCAGCTTGAATCAGAAAGTGCAAGATCATAGACCCAAATTGCAACCTTTTCCAAATAGATTCACTATTTTTTTTTTTATTAAAAACAATTGGCAATAAAACAATTATGAGAGAGAGAGAGAGAGGGGACTCACAACATTTTGTACGGATTTAACAACACTCAGAGAAGTCGAAGATTCAGAGCTTTCACCTGTAGCCTTAACAACAATGGCAACACGACTCTGTCTCTCTGCAATGAAAATTATTAGAAACCCATTAATAAAGAAGAAACTAAACCTAACCATGGCATACTGCAAGCCTACAATGAATCAGATTGAGTGACGTAAAGTCCCTCACTGTAACATTTCATTCATGGGAAATGATCTGGTAAATCTTGCTGCTGGAAGCTTTAGGGCACCCCTTCAACAAAATTGATGGAACCCATTAATGGAAAGCTAGAATTAGAGCAAAAAGTGAATGACCCAATAGAGTATTATGCATTACAAATCATACCTTGTTACCTATTTGAAGAACCCATGTGTGTGCGTGTATGTGAAGCTGCATGGGTTTTTGTGAGACAGAAAAACAGAGTCGAGAGGGAGAGAGAGGATCTCAGGCGACGGTGACCAACAAGGAGGTGAATCGGTGTTCCGGTTGCCGGCCAACGTAAGGAGGAGCGCCGGTGAGAGTGGAGGGGAGAGGAGCGGCGGTGAGGGAGAGAGAGAGAGAGAGAGAGAGGGGCACCATTAATGGTTCAGGGTTGGGTTTGGTTTGGTGTGGTGAGACCGTGAGATGTGTGGTTTAAATGGTTATTGGCGACTATCGATATTGGTCGCTAAAGGTATTTTATAAATCCCTCTAAATATTTGAAGGTCTCCCTCCAAAACATTTTACTTCTTTGGCGACTAAAATTCAATTTTGTCACTAAAAACAATCTTTTGGCGGCAAAGATAAAAATTAATTTTTTATTTTACATTTGTCGACTAAAGGTTTTAGTAGCCAAATCTATACCTACGGCGACTAAAATTATTTTCCGTCGCTGAAAATCAACTTTTGGCGATCAAAATTTTGGTTGCCAAAGATAAAAATTAATTTTTTATTTTACATTTGCCGACTAAAGGTTTTAATAGCCAAATCTATACCTACAGCGACTAAAATTATTTTCCGTCGCTGAAAATTAACTTTTGGCGACCAAAATTTTGGTCGCCAAAGATAAAAATTAATTTTTTATTTTACATTTGCCGACTAAAGGTTTTAATAGCCAAATCTCTACCTACAACGACTAAATTTATTTTTTGTCGCCAATTTCTGGCATTTTGGCGACTAAATTTTTTTTAGTCACAAATTGTAATATTTTTAGCTACTAAATTTTTTTTAGTCGCCAATAATCAATATTCCCCGACTAAAAAAAATTAGTAGCTAAAAATTTGACTTTTGCCGACTAATATTATTTTTTGTAGTCAATTCCATAACTTTTGACGACTAAAAGCCATTTGGCAGCCAAAAATAGTCGCGAAAAATGTATTTTCTTGTAGTGAAGAACCATCATATCTAAAGTACTAAAGCCTTGTTTGGGTTAAACTGTATAAGTGTATTTTTTTTGCATAAGTGCACTTATATAGGACACATCAATCAACATCTCTTTTCTACTTTTCTACACATCTTCTTATAAAAAGTTAAAAAAATACACTTATTTAGAATATTCTAAACCAACCTAAGTCTAGCCTGAATAGCAAGCCACACCACAGTACTCCCTCTAGGGATGTGGTATTTGAACCACAAATTTTTGGCCCAATGGACCCTAGGTTTTATGGGCTATCCACCAATTCCATGCAGAGCTTATGGTAAAAAGCCCATCCTTTAAATGGTTCCAGATAATCCTATGCTCACCATCAGTAGGTTCCATATCCAAAGGCATGCTATCCCTAAATCTCATCCAGCTCTCAGGTTTGACATACAGGCCATCTCCATCTCAACCCATGAATAGCCTTTGCCCAAGAAAGTATTAGTTAGCTTTAAATACTTCACCATAACAATCATCTATTAGTTTTGAGTCTTCCCCTTAAATGTTTGTAAAAATATAAAATTTAATTTTAACAAATTGGGCTGGGCTTGGCTGGGCTGGCTCTAGAGAAAGATTTTTATGAGTTCAGGTTTTATGTCTGCTCCAGTGAGAAGACAGCCTGAGGTATAGGTTGGGGGGCTAAGGTCAATATCCCTTATGAAATGGTTGGGATTTCATGAAACATCTAAGTTTGCTGGTTTGTTTGGTACAATTTATTTGAGTTTTTTATAATTTATTTTTATTTTTTATTTTGATATAGATTGGGGTGGGGTAAGGTTAATATCCTTTATGAAATGGCTGGGATTTCATGGAACGTCCAAGTGTGCCTAGTTGTTTGGGACAATTTATTTGAGTAATAATAACTTTTTTTTTTAATTTGAGAGTTTGTACGAAATTATTTGGTAGAAATTCAAAAAAGCTAAAAAAATGATTATCTAAAATCTGGAGAAGTAATATTTTTGGTTCCCACTATCTGATTATCAATTTTTAATTTATAGTAAATTGTACTAAACATGTTCGTAGTAGTACTTAAGCCATTGATGGTAGGCTGAGTGTAGTGCTGTCTTTGGAACTACAATACGAAATCAATTGCTGGATACCAATTGCGCTGCGTTGCTTCAACATATGAAGGATACAAGTAGTATAATTTCTCAAAATACAAGGGACAACTTAACTAACATATGAAGGATACAAGTAGTATAATTCCCAAAATATAAGGAACAACTTAACTATCTAGGTTTGAGAAACTCTACAAGTTTGAACTAACTCAACACTCATTGATACTGTCGACATTTGATTACCCCATACAATAATTGTCTCAAAATCTTGAGCTATTAAAAAATATACTTAACAATCCATATCAAACTCACACTATTGCCCTTCATATGTGACCATGTTTTGCATGTAGAGAAGCGAATAAAATAAAATACACAAAAATAGATAGAACAAAATGCATAATAAAAGAAATAATCAATATGGTTGAGAAAATTTGAATACATCACCTTTTAGAATTAACGTTGATGTAGAACAAGTGACAGAAAAATTGTGAAAATTGGACAAGTGAAAGGCAAGAAGAAGTCAAACTAAGGGTAAAATAGTAAGCTTCATAATAAGCTCAGAATCCTCCCAAATTTGATATTCCAATCGGAAATGACATTTTAAATCAAAGTTATTGCCATTCTTAGCAATGACATCGGTTGATTTTAGTCAAATTCTTTCATTTAGGCCTTCAAATTAGCGATTTTATTGTTTTAAGAACAACTTTATTTTGAAAAGTATGCTTTAGCGTCGTTTGTTTTAGCGTGTTTTCGATATTTTCTAGTATTCAGATATGCGCTTAACTCAAATTTTTTATATTTGATAATTTTCTATTTATTTTTGTGTCTAGTAAATAATTAACCTAATTAGTTGTTTCTTTATTTACTTGGGGCAAAATAACTTTTGATCAATATATTTCAATTTTCAAAAATTTCCTTTGAAAAATCATTTTCTTTGTAGATTTAAGGTGTTCCTCATATATTAAAACAATATCTAATCCAGTGTGATATTTTTTGCTTCGTCAAAAATTTATGTTAGATCACCAATATATCAAATGTTTAAACTATTAAAAAATGAATCAAACAATTATTACCAAGCTAATACACATCCAAGTAGGCTGGAGAGAGAGAGAGAGAGTTGCAAAAAAAATTAATGCACCTAAAAATATTATAACGATGATTGCATTATTTTTCAATATAAAACTCACATATAAATAAGGTGAATTATACTGACGGTCTCGGTAGTTTAAGATTTGCGTTATTTTAGTTCTTAATTTTTTAATTATGATATATTTTACTATGAATTTTGAGTCAGGTTTCATTTAAGGACAACTAAAAATATTATTGCTCCATTTCAAAAGCAAAGTTGTCAATATGATTAAATATAAAATATAAGCTAGTTTGACAAAAACAAATATGAAAAAATTATTTTAAAATTTTTAAAAATTATTTCTACCCACTAAAGATAAAATTATATAAAAATAATAAATCTTTTACATTTTTATTTTTTTATCAAATTAATTTTTAATGTGTGTTTGGATGATGATCATTTAATGGTTGGTTGTTTTTGTTAATATTTTTTTATGGTTATCATATAATAGATGGTTGTATTTGTTGTTAATAGATATTTTTGGATGGTTATCATGTAATGAATGATTATTAGGCTTTTAATATGTAATCGATATGTTTAATATATGAAATATTTTTAATTTTGAATTTTTTTGATTTAATGGATTGGTTTAATATTTACATCAAAATTGTCGCCATGTTTGAATTTTGAAAAAAAAAATTAAAAACAAATTATTTTATATAATTTTATCTTCTGAGAGGGTAGAAATAATTTTTTTTTTAATATATTTATTTTAGTTAAATTAATTTCTATTTTTTCAAAAATCAAACATGGCGACAATTTTGATGTCATTATTAAACCAATCCATTAAATCAAAAACTCAAAAATTAAAAATACTTCATATATTAAACATATTAATTACACATAAAAGTCTAATAATTATCTATTACATGATAACTATCCAAAAATATCATTTAATAACGAATACAATCATCTATTACATGATAACCATGAAAAAAATCAACAAAAACAATCAATCATTACATGATCGTCATCCAAACACATACTAAAAATTAATTTGATAAAAAATTAAAGATTTATCAGTTTTATATAATATTATCGTTGGTCGGTAAAAATAATTTTTAAAAATTCAAAAATAATTTTTTCACATTTATTTTTTGGGGTATTTTTTTTAAGGTCTCTGATATTATGATTTTATAGTATAAAGGACATCAACTATTTTCATGATGTCTAAGGTCCCTCAACATCAATCAGAGAAATTTCAGTTTCAGAGAAAATTCGATCCAGAGAAAATTCAACCAGAGAAAATTTAATCCAGAGAAATTCTCTGGTCCAAACCAGAGAAAATTCAATTCAGAAAAATTCAATTCTGTCTAAAATTTACCTCTCATTCTAGCTAAAATGAGGTGTACAGTTCTAAAAACTAAAGAACGAGAAAATGAAAAACATGAGTTGCAGAGATAAATCTCTCAACAGCAACGGTATACGAACACAGCTCGTTGCCTTGAAGGTGGCATGCACATAATCACCAGGATGAGTATGAGAACAATCAGCATAAGAGTTGACTTGATATCTGGAGCTTCAGCTTCACCTTCTGCCATGATCAACACTTCTTGCTCAAGCTTTCTTCTTCTTTAGTTTGTTTCTCTGTAAATTGTCAATTTGATGCTTTTGCTTGTTCTTGTACTCTGTCCAGAATAAAATGTGAAGTTGTGGTTAACAACCAAGTTGACTTGTTAATTATTTAGTGCCTGGGTTGGGAGTATATATTGAATTTGCATTTAGTTTCTTTGAATATTTGACCTAAAATTCAGTTCAAATGAAAAATAATAATCGAAATAGACGTTTTGTGAGCTAAATTACTAGAAATTGTCAATCCAGAGAAAATTCTCAACCTAGAGAAAATTCAGTTCCATTGCCAAATATTCCTGGAAGCTTGAACCCAGAGAAATTTGAATTTTCTCTGGTTGAATTTTCTCTAGGTTGAATTCAGAGAAAATTCAAATTTCTCTGAGTTGAATCCAGAGAAATTTGAGAAATTCTACTACTAAGAATGTGGAGAATTTTTAAAAAAAGAAAAAGAAAAAAAACCTATTCTAACCTCCTTC